GTCTCTTTTATTTAAGAAACAAGTAAAGGTGATGTAAGTGGAAAAGGTATAGCTTTGCAGACCCCTTCGTCATTATTGAATGTAGGGTCAGGTGTTCATCCAAATTCAATCAGAAACAAATGAAAGGGGGAAAAAAAAATTAATACAGAAATATTTTAGCCTGTATGAGGATTATAAAAAAAAAAAAAAATATTCTCCTATAAGTAAAGAAGAGAAAAATGAAGAAAGTGTCTCCTTAAATATATCTATTTAAATAAAAAAAACATTTGATCTTTCTCTCTTTGGTATATGTTTAGTTCAGTTTGTTCTTTGTTCTAGGCTTAAAATATTATTCATTTAGGAAAAAAAAAATATATAAAAATAAAAGATGTGTAAGCATTTGTTTAATATACTGAGAGAAACTGCTAAAAAAAAAAAAAAAAAAAAAAAAAAAGTCCCGTTTGGCTCTGGTGAGATAATTATTTCAGCGAGACTATTGCTGTGAGGATGTGTAATTCACTGTTGCTGTTCTGTTTGTTTTTTCCTCTGTTACATTTAGGTTATCTGGTTTCAGATACAATCTATTAAGTGGAGTATTTTTCAGTAGTTGAGGTTTTCCCACCTGTCTACCCTAAAACACCTGCAACATATGTTTGTGTAACCCTGCAATGCTCTGTGTTTTGGGCCCCGGGAAATTCCCCCAGAGCTTTTTGCTTATAAACAGCTGAGCAATTCATTTCTCTAATGACAAGTGCTTTTCCCTCGGCATTGAGGCAATAGCACGTTCACTGAAATAAGTCTCATTTTTCATCAGACATATTGAAAATCTTTTTTCATTGTTGTCTCTTATTCTGGGCCTTCTGATTTTGTGCAGAATTAGATTAGATTTTTTTTTCCTGTTAATATATAAGAAAGGTGAAAAGGAAAGACCTAGACAAAGAAAAGAAGAATGTTGAATACAATCCTCTGCTGGCACCTGCATGGAAACTTCTGCAAATAATGTGTATTCAAATGTTTAAACGTTACATTACAGCATAGCATGGTTTCCCTGATGCACTGCAAGAGCAGTGTGCCCATGAGTGGTGTCACACACCTCTGTGGACAGTCCTATGCAGTATGTCCCTGGAAGCCCATGATGGAAGGGGCAATACTGGAGATTTTAAGTGTACAAAGCACAGCCCCTCACAGATGGGAGTTTTGAGAGTTTTTCAGCAGTTTCTGCAAGTTTAAGGAATTCCTACTGCATTCTGTGGGATGCTGACCCCATCCTCAGCTCTCTCACCTGCGAGATGAGTGGGTATGGGTATGGGTATAGGTATGGGTTTGGGTTTGGGTTTGGGTATGGGTTTGGGTTTGGGTATGGGTATGGGTATGGGTATGGGTATGGCTGAACTCCAGCCCTCCTCCCACAAAGCAATACAGAAGGTCCCCAGCAACTCCCCACTAGCTTTATGTCTGTTTGGAGAAGTATATTTACAACCTGTAAATAAGGCTTTGTATTCTAATATTAGGATGGAGTCTGGTGTATCTAAAATACCTGAAACATACTTAGACATTTTTTCTATTGGAGCTGTGGCTAATACGTGCTTAAGAGACATACAAAAAACTATACATATATGTTGTTTTAAAAACTTTAAAGTCCAAAACTGCACTTGTGCCTACATGCACTTCTGTATCTGTATTTAGTGTGTGATTCCTCTAAAAGTGTGAATGTGGCTGTTTTCACCACTTTAAGCTTACTTTAGGTAGAAATGTAAGAACAGAAGAATTATAAAGCCAGCAGACTGCTACCAAAGATGGGTGTGGGAAGAGGGATTTGTAGTATTGGCACAGGCAGCTTTTCTCTAGTATTTCTGCACTGTTTCCCTTAGAAAGGAAAAAAAACAAAACCGAATGTGTTAATCTGTTTAATGTCCTCACGCAATTTATTAGGAGATTTCAACAATTTAGTAATTCGGAGGGCTGATTTCACTGTCATTTAAACAAGATTTTCCTCTTAAGAAAAAAAGATTTCATCTGAGGAATTTGTCAAGATAATTACATAAATTGGGGAATAAAAAGGAAAAAGTTTACTAGCCTAAGTAATTAAAAATATAAATAGTATCATTCTAAATTGCAATATGTAAGGAAAAGGATGCGGTCTCTGTGAATATTTTAGACAACAATGCTATGTTTCGCAGTAAATAAATTTGTTTAATCTTCTTTTCTAATATATGGCATGTAATGTAGAGGGTAGCTGAAACTGCATGCTTAGATGGGAATTAATTGATAATTCGTAAGGAAGGATAATTCATAAGGAAGAGATATAACTGCAGGTTTTTGTTTCTTATATTTAACCTAATGACATGATTAAAATATACGATTTAAAGGTTAATAACAATAATAATATATATTAATATATATTATTAATAATATATAATAATGCAATAATATAATAATATAAATATCATAAACATCATAAAGTCGTATTTTTTTTGCAATCTAAGGTGCTATTTTCAGAACTTTTAACATTTCTGTGGTAGTACTGAGCAGATACTGATCTGCTAACATGTATGTCAGATATTTGTGTTGGTTTCTTTTTAATACTGTACTTTCCTATATGGATAGCTTCACTGTGTTACAAAATGGTTTTCAGCAGCAACTTGGTATTTACTGCCTTGCATTTCTAATGTTTTTCCAGTATCATTTTTTTGAAGGCATTTTTTTCACTGCATGTAATAGTAATTTAAACTGCCTCTTCCTTTGAAATTTTTAAACCTCATAGGAATTTAAATAGGCCCTTGTGAAAGTAATGCTTGAGCCTCATTCATCTATTCGAGTTAGCTCATTGTTCCTATTAATATCTTTAAATGCTTAGATAGTAGATCAGCCTTCCGTGTCTTGAATTACTCATCATTTCTGCATAAATGTGTTTCAAGAAACTGTTCGTATGATCTTTTCCTCTTCTTTAAACAGTTTTCTGTTTATTTGTTTGTTTGTTTGTTTGTTTGTGGGGTGGTAGATAGCAAATTCCATTGGTTTTGCCAAGTTTCAAATAAATATTGAGTTACTGGTCACAAGTAGCAACTGGTAAAGTAAGTTTTTCAAAGGGCTTCCCTTGGAATTAGAAGTGGTAGCTACTCTATTGATCTCGTGTTCACGCACCTTGTGGAAATGGGCATCAAGTCACATGAAGGAAAAAGTTATTTAATTCACAGGAGAAAAGTTACACTGATTGCTTGCAGAGTAGTCACAGAACCATCAGTTATCCTCCTCACGTCAGTTTGGATTTGATTATCATAGAAATGCATTGAATTACCAAAGTAGAGCAATAGTAACTAAAGCTGATTCATTGTTATTGCTGTCAGTTGATGAGGACTGACTTACAAGCCATATGAATGGGTAGAGTTATGCAAATATTGTTTTTATAACAAGGGAAGAAAAATGTACAGCACCCATTACAATGTGGGTGGTAGAATAGATGAGAATGTTTTTAATGCTTGTCTAATAGCTTTTAGTTTTTGTTTCATTTTTAATGAACATTACAAACAGGATATATTTTTAAAATGTTTAATGTGTTTCCAAATAAGGGGAACGAGACCTGTCATACAAGATTAAATCTGGCTATATGAAGCAATCTGGAAATTCCCAGCTTTAAGTTTGACCCCAGAAATTACCCTGGCCTTTGATACCTATCACATCCTTACATACTCCTGTCTCCTGCTGTGCACATGCAGTAGTTCGGTCTTTAAAATGCAACTATACCTCTTCCAAAAATAAGAAGGCTTTCGAGGAAAGGGGGTTATCTGGAGTTACACGGGGAAAGGAGGGAGCAGGGATACTACAGCATAAAATGAAATTAGGAGAGTTAGGACACGGCGTGTGACTAACTCCATGAAGAATGTATTGTGCTTTCAACTGTGAACAACTATTTCAGAAAGGTCATTGCATAGTTCATTAAAACTATATTTACTATTAACAAGAGTTAAGAAGGCAGATCAGACTATAAGGCAACAGCCTATGAATGATCAAATCTTTGAAGCAAATAATCAGAAAGTGTTTACATGTGTTTTAGGCAGTATATTTGTTCATTGCAGTGAATTTTATCATTTTGTTGGGCTTTTTTCCTTCAAGAAGTGCGTGGCTTTAAACCATTTCTCCTGTAATTCATGCTTGCGTATGCAGGGACTCTGTAGGTCTCTGCTGGTTTTGGTTTGAACCAAATGCATTTTATTTTTACTTTAAAATATTTCCATTAAAATAATAACTTCCAAATAACATCCCTCAGGTTGCACTAGTTCATTCAGAACTCTTTATGCATGTACTGCATTCACACCTCTTCAAGTAGTCATCGAAATACCATCTCCAGAGGTGTTTTCACAACTACTGGAGGCAGTGGGCTCCAGTTCTATTGTGACGGACACTTTCAAATAGCTTCTGCTTTCAGTATCAATTACAAAAATGTCACAGAACTGTGCTTTCTTTGTGGCCTCAGTTTTGGGCAGGGAGAAATTTAGAGAAAGTCTCCGCGTGCCATCTAGTGGCAGTGCTCAGCCAGTCTTGCTTCTTTGCTTAACCCAGATTCACACTTCTGTGCAGTTAGTGCAATATGTAAGCGCTGCTTTGTCCTTACTGTTATCATTTTCTTTAAAATCACATCATTTTAGCCTAGAGATGGTAGCATTCTGCACCTGAGATAAAGGAATAAATTATGTCTGTGTCTGAACTTTGCCATACAGTATTGCTTTACTTAGAAGTGCTATCACAGCAGCCAGCAGTGCCTTCTTCATATGAAACTGATTTCTGTTAGTGAGGAGAAGGCTTACCGCTAACATTCCATATTATTCGAAAGATTTAAGGATTTTAAGGCTGCATTTTATGTAACTACCATTACTGTCCATAGAAAACAAGATCTTGAGAAAATAAATTATGCTTTAAATTTGTAATCATTAATAAACAAATTTCTTGTCTCCACTTTAAATCTTTCAGAAAAAAAGGATACATAATGCTATATATATTTTTTTTTATTTATTTTTTTTTAGAAAAATCCAAGACCAGTGACTCACCAGTTCCAACAAAATTTAGATTATTACAAAGCGCGTGGAGCAGACTTGATGAATAAAACCCGGTAAGCTATTTCTGAAGATGTTTTCACTGAACTAATATCTTACATAAATAAAATGTTTCATAAGTCACTCTTATCCCAAATGAGAGTTACATAAGCAGTGCTAAAATCGTGTGTTTAGTTCATGACATTTATTTTGAATCTTTCCTTTTGTTTTATGAAAAATTAAGGTTACATGATAATTGGTCAGCTCACTGGCTTTTTATTTTGAGGCTAAGTTACACAGTGGCACATTTACTAAAAGCAGTGGGTAAAACATTCAGCCAACGTGAGTTCTGTAGCTGAGCTACTTCCAAGAGCGCATCTAATTGCAATCTGTAGTATCAATGTAACAGAAGCTATGTGTGCTAACTAAATGTAAATCCAGTTTGAATTAATTTTTACTGAACCCTTTTGCAGCATCCCTTCCTCACTTTTTTTTCAGAAATGGCTTCTATCAATACAATTCTGTCTGTTGGTGAATAGTCTAGTGGTGCCCATGCTCCAGCATGATGGCCAAAGAGTCAGTGCTGGTGGCTGACACCTTTTCCTTGGTTGACAAAAACTATTGCACTCTATCACATTTATTTAATTTTTAATGGTTTCAAGACTTTAAAAAAAGAAAAAAGGAAGAAAAAAAAAGTAAAAATTAATAATTTGAAAATATCTAAAGAAAACATTTCAAAGATTTTGGGGGGAATAAAATTACAAAGCCCAACCTGGAATGACATCTGTTGGAAACTTAAATTCTAAGGAAATAAATGACCATTAAATCTGTTGATTGTGCACAGGAGAAATTGCTTAGAATAGTTCACATAGGGGAGTAACTCAGAGAAATCTATCTCAACACAAGACTATTTAGAGTAGCTCAGGCATGGTAAATCTGGTCAAGATTGGACTAAGGAGAAAATGGGAAGATGTGACATTAGGAGATGTTTCATCAGTGAGCAGAGAAATGGGTTAGATAAGCTGTCAGGTTTTCATCTCTAATTCCACAGATTCAGTAATATATTTGAAATATCTTTACAACTCTCTAGCATGTATTGCTTATTTTATCATATATAAAGCCTTTTAATCTGTCATATTCATAATTTTTTCTCTCATCACTCATAATGGCTACTCTCTGAAGATAGAAATGCCTTTGCATAAGGCTTGCTTAAAACAAAACATTTTTGTCTTAGCAAAAAACTGCAGAGATTGAATCATCTTCCCACTGCCAGTTTAAAAATACACCATTCATAGTCAAGGTCAATGATGCTTATTGTGATGGAACAAAATTGTTTGCTTCGTAGATGGAATTCACGTCTCCTTGATATTCATATTTTTAAACTGAGGCCTTACTTTTAAATGCATCTGCTGATAACTCTACAACATAATCAATCAGCATTTTTCTTGTAATTGTTGTGCACGTCTGGTACATTTAGATGGCTAAAATGTAGACATTGATCCATGTTTAATGGCTGTAATCATCCTTTGTGTTAATATATCAGACATTTACACAGAATACATTGTTGTTCTTTTCCTGAACTTCACTGTAGATTTATATACCTTTTCCAGAAATCTAACACCTTGCTATTGTTCTTTTTCTGAAGCTGCAATTCAGAGAAATCACACACTGGATTTTAGTTACGGATACTTTTGTTAAGACCACATCTCAACAAGTACTACAGATAGCACCACTATTCATTTTTCACATATGTGTATGTATTCTGAGCTGCTTATTTAGCAGCTGTCTCAGATCAGAGCTCAGTCACATGCAGGTATTAGGAACTGCAGTGGCTATACTTTCTAATTTTCAAAAAATAATAAAACGTTATTGCATATTGTTGTTGAAAGCATTTTTTTTAAACTTATATTTTGACCATAATGGCTTAGATGTTTGGTGTTTATTGTTATTGTTTAGTGCATTATCTCAAGAAATCTCTTTGAAACTATTTGAGAAATCCTATTAAACTCGCTTCTTATCTACATGTATGTCAAAGCAGCAGCTTAAACAGCTTAGAAGGAAAACATATTTTTTATTAAGGAAACTTTTTTTTTTTTTTTTTTTAAAGCAACAAGCTGATGGACACAAATACACAAGGAGGCAGACCTTAATATCTTCATAATCTCAACATTTTATTGTAGACTATTTGCTTCCTTACAAAAGCTTTGTCTCATGCATCCATGGACAATCAGGATTCCAATGATGCAGTTAACTCAAAGCATCCAGTGGCTTTGAAGCTTTAGTAGCTTCTTAGAGAAAAAGATTTTCTTCTATTAAATACCAGGTTTTTTGCTGTCAGCGTTTTTTCTTTTTTTACTGATTGTCTACACTCCAGACTTACAGGCAAAAGAAACTTAGGATTAATTGTACAAGTCATTCTCTTCTTTCTAAGGTGATAGTTCAGGTGAGTTAGTGATACATAGCTCCTTAATTTGGTGGACAGTTTGAACAGACTAAGGGGAAAAACTGCTAGATATACTGATGCTAGGGTTCAGAGTCTCAACAAAGTTATTACTGGCATGGCCCCTAAAGTCAGTTATGTAATTAAATTAATTGCAAACTATTCATATTTGCTTGATATCTGCTAAAGCAGCGTTTGATCTTTCTTCTTCCACCTTCACAGCTACAGTCTGTTTTCTTTCTGGAATGAAGAAATCATTAAACAAAAATCCCTGTGCTGACTCTTCTGATGCCACGTGTATGTCAAGAAATTAGAAAATCCCTTGTTACTTCTTTAAGTGTCCCTGCGTAGTTACATGCAAGTGGTGGAATGTCCCTGGAGGTGTTCAAGAAACATGCAAATGTGGCACTGAGGGGCATGGTGGTGATGGGTTGATGGTTGTACTTGATCTTAGAGGTCTTTTTCAACCTGAATCTTCTGTATTCTGATTAATAACCAATTCTGCTAGGTAGTATCAGAGAAAAAAAATGGTAGTAATAAACAATATAGCATGTCGTTTCTTAAAAATCATTAGAAATATTCCGTTTGCTTTTGAAACCATTTGGGACTCCTGCAGGACCATTTTATAACTCTGCAAATACTCTTTTTTAATTTAATTTATCAGTCACTCTGAGGTGACTACAGAAAGTCTTTTTGTAGTCTTAGCAACAGTAAAATGGGCAAATAAGCAAACATCCTGCAGTCAATAGCCTAAAATCGTTACAGCTTCCATAAATTGGGAAGTAGCACCAGGAAGGGTGGAAGAGTTACAGGAGACAAACTTTGATCCCCTTTTTGTTTCAGTTTCACTGCTACTCCTGAAAACTGTAACACGTTTTTTCTTCATCACTAGTCTGCGAGAGGATGGCCCCATCTCGTGATTCTGCAAGCTCACATACTTTCTCCTCTTTTCTCTCATTTTAATCTTTATCTATTCCTAGTCTAAACAATGCAGCTGTTCCTATTTTCTAGTTATGTTCAGTATGTGTGTGTGTGATCATACTGTGTATTTGAAAAATACATATATATGAAGACAAGTAGGGAAATGATATGACAAGAAGAAGCAAAATTACTTTTTCAGATGTGTGCACAAGTTACAAATCACCTATATTAATTTATCTATAATTCGTTTTTAATTAAACTTCCCCAAAATATTCTGAACTTCTTTTTTCCCAGTACAATGATTGCAAAGTCCTTAATTGAATGTATTCCTTCAGTTATTTTAAACACAGCTATTTATATCACTGGTGTGAAGCTAGGTAAAATAAAACTTCAGGAATGGAAAGGTTTCTGTGACTGTGATATATTTCTGTGCAGGGCATTTCAAGCATTAATTATGTAAAACAGAAAAATACTGCATGAACGAATAGCAGTGGCATTACTGATCTCTGGGTTATGTGAACACCTCTACTGGGAATTAGAAGCTGCTTTGCCTCTTTATTTTAGACAGATTAAATGGTTTAGTAATTTCCTCATTCTTAATGTTGCATGTAACTGAAGTGAATTAAATATCCACTGTAGTTACAAATAAAAGGTAACAGTGATAAGGATTGTGACCCAGTACATATTATATCCTGAAGCCATTCTTCAGCCAAAACCACTTTTGCAATCAGGATTCCTTTCACAAAGCACTTGTCTAGAAATGGCTGGCATGGACAGAGGGTGACGTTGGAGCAAAATTGAGCTAGTTTTGCCAACCTAAATTGCATTCTGGTGGTAGTTTTGTTTGTTTAAAGAATCGATTAAGTTTTAGTTATTTTAAACATTTAAGAAAATTTAATCCAACAGAAATAAATATTACACTGGTCTTGGAATAACAAGTGCAAAAAGTCTTAATAATAAATTTTCTAATGTTTCTGATACTTCAGAGCATGGATCGCTTGTTGACACTTTTTGATATCTTTTTTCATGTAAGAAGCCAAATTAAGGAAAATGGAACAACTTGCCCATGTTTTTCAGGAAGAAATGACCAAAAGAATTTGTCTGCTATTGGTTGGAAAAAACCCTCACTATGTTGTTCCTGTGACTCCTGTGTATGTTTCATGATAAAACACACTGTTTGTGATGCTCAACACTTGGATTACCTTGGCTCCATTTTGGAAAACAGTGTGTGCATTCCTACACAGAATCATAGGATCATTAAATTGCTTGGTTGGAAAAGACCTTAAAGATCATCAAGTCCAACCGCACTCTAACCATTTGTCATGTTCTCCTTTCAGTGCCAGTGCGAAGGCTGCCCCACTGAACATCAACAAAGTCTCCAACAGCTTACTGAACTTTGGCCGAAAGCTGATAGCTCCAGCCATGGCTTCAGGTAGCACTGCAGGCCCCACTGCCGGGGCAGGCAGCTTCCCTCCAACAACAGGGCCTACCCGTGGGACAGCAGAAGCCCCCCAGTACCACCAGCACCAGGCACAGCAGCAAAGAATGATGAAGTCGGAAAGCATGCCAGTCCAGCTGGGCAAAGGTAACAGCAGAAAATGTGGTAGTGCTACAGCAGGAGAAATCCTTTTATTGATGCAATAAGTTTGTATCTGGAGGGATTAGAAGAGACAGAATTTTGTTAAACAGGATGTTTGCAGTGTAACGTAGCATTCAATATTATGACAAGAAGGTGAAAATATTAGAAGTTTTGAACCTTTTAAAATATTAACAAATGACTTGAGACATACCAGCAAACTCTAGTGTTATTGTAAACATCTTCCTATACATTAATTTTCCAGTCTTTTAAATGCACCATAATTTAACTGCAAGACTAATTTCATATCATTTTTTTTCAGGTTATTGGCACAAATCCCATGCATAACAATATTAGCTAAATATGAGTGCAGGATGTTAGATCAATTACAGAGTAATTCTTAACAAACAAAATCTTATTCCCGTTAGGAGTTGGGGAGCTTATTTCAGAAGCTACTTGACCAATGACATCTATTTACCTTTTAATAATTTGTGATGCCCCCATGCACTTTCTCAGTTTGGTAAATACTACTTTTTGGAGCTTTTTTTTATATTTCTCAAGGACAGTTTATTTGAACAGCAAAATCAGCGAGCTCAGCTTCAGTAGATGTTTCCTATGGTCTGCCAGGCTCAAGGCATATTTCTGCTTTTCATCTTCAAACAGACTATGGCAGCATGGTCTTTGAAACGAATGTGTAGCACTGTACTTATGTGTGCAGTGTTTCTAGTTGTAGATCATAATAAGTAATGGTTATAAGTTTGAGGGCTGCCTGAGTTGCTGACTGCCCTGAGCCATTGTGCCATATTTTTCACCAGATTTGGAAGTGTACAAGGAAGAAAATAATACTTCCATGGCTCAGACTGATGTTCTTTCTCTATCTCATGTCACCATTTTTTTCCTAAGTCAGTCCTTCCATGATGCGTCGCATTCCCAGGAGATACTGAGAGAACAGCATTTAGAGGTACAACTTTTCTCACAAAGCAGAGAGGTGCAAGCAGTTTTGTAAAGGCTACTACAGCAGCTTGGCAAAATCCAGATTTGTAGCTTTTCTCAGAATCCAGAACCATTTCCAAAATTGCTCCAGCACAGGTTTTAAAAGTCCCCATCACTGTGCAAATATGAAAACAAAGTGTGGTAATTTCTCTGCTGTTCAGTGGCTTCATTTGATTTGTATTTACAAAGGCTGTGTATGCTCCTGTTTGAATCCTTGATGCAAACCCTGCTTTTGTCAATAGAAGGAAAGTTAGGTCTTGGATCCATAGTTCTGGATGGGCTCTTTGGTTTGCTTTAAAAAAAAAATCCATAGTAAAGTTATCAGATACCTGACTTTATACCACTTCAGTTGAAAATTGATCAGGTGGTTATTTGCTTTTGTTTGCTTAATATGAAAAAATAGTAAAACTTGAAGCAGCTTATAGTAGCAGAATCAGTTGTAGCTTAATACTGAGCTAGCCGATAATGGGTGGCCTTGTTTATGCTTGTATACAGTAACTACTTTGCTAAGCAGCCAAGAAACTGACTTGCCACTTTACATATAACAATCAGAATAAAAATTGCTGTTAGACTTTGGTGATTGTCATGCACAGACTGTGCACTTATTTCTGTATAGACAGTATATCCATATTTGGTGCAATACGTGAGATGTAATTTAAAGGCAACAAAATGTAAATATACTTTTTTAATCAGTTAAGGTAACAGTGAGTTTTATCTCATATATTAGTACCATGCTTGCTGTTCCAGATCAGTTATCAGTACATTGCCTGTAGCTGGACAGAAATTTTGAATGATGGCAGCCAACTACAAGTGCTGACACACACCACATAGTGTCTTCTCTATCATATCTCAAAAGTCAGTTTTCAAGTTTTTGCAAGATGATGGTATCTGTACCCCCATGAAAGTGCTGTGGGCAGTGGGTCCGCAGTGTGTGAGGGCACTTCTCAGCAGCTCTGAGCAAAGTGCTTCAGGGGACAGGGGTTAGGACAGAAAAGCCCTTATTCTGCTCCTTCTGTTTGTGCCGAAGTACCTTCTGACTTTGTGCACTGGCTTCTATCAAACTGAATTCTGCTCTAGCTTTTGGATTTCTCAAAGCTGGTTGATGTGGTTTGTAACTATAAGACTCGTAAGTTCCTTACAAACTGTATCTAACTTTCCAATGTTCCCATTCATCAACATGTTTTCAGCTCATCTTAGCCTTCAGGAGCTTAGTCATTTGGCTGCGGTAGGCAGAGGCAAGCATTTTGCATTTGATAGTCATTTGCACTTCCAGTCAATGTACTACTCAGAGATACTGAGTTGGACAAGGTAACCAAAAGACCAAAGTACTGTCAGTCTGACAGGGATCGAGTCAGTAGAGGAAGTTATCTGTTTTTTCTCATTATATTAGTCCTTTCAGGTTTTGAATGCTCAAGTAGTGTTGATAATTTCAATTAATACATAAAGTACTGTGAATCTGAAGAGGTTAAGTTCAGTGCCTAATCTACTTTGTTTGAATTGTGAAGAAATCATCAGTGACAAAATGTCTTGAAGGATGGCAAAATAATCCTACCCCAGTTTTACAGCTGTGTTTTGGCACTGATAGCAATCACTTCTGTCACAAAGCTGCAGCAGTGACGGATGTCACTCATGCATCCATGAGTGCTGTGCTCTGTGTAAGGGATGGGTGTTTTATTTCAATAAGAATTGTTTCTCATTCCAAAGTTTTTGCACTTGTTGAGTTTCTTTAAGAAAAGCATGCATATGATTTAGAGAATGTACAAGGAAAAAAAAAGTAGACAGACAAAAAAAAATCTTAATTACAAGCCTGTAATTCCAGATGAGTCTTCAACATTACAAATCACAGTTGAATGAAATATCCAGACACCTAATTGGAAAATCGGTTCCTTCTAATAATATATTAATCCTATTCAGTCTGTCCTCAGCACAGAAGGCCGGGTGTCATTACTGATTACTTCTGTGAGACAGCCTGCTAATACAAAAGGGATTAAAATATTCTTTTGATCCTATGCAGTGAAAGAATTCATAGGCACAAAGGTTAAATTAAAATCTAGAGTTTACTGGATTGTCAGTTGAGTTTGTGGTCTTGAGAGACAAAACCAATGATAATGAAAAAAGCTGAGAAGAAAGCAAGCAGAATTGTTGCCTTTAGTGTTTCACCAGATTCTTGAGCATTCAGAAACTATGCAGTCTTTGCCTACCAAATGGTAATGTGCTGCCAGAAAAAAAAAGAAAAAGAAAAAAAAAAAAGGAAAAAAAGAAAAAGTCTTTCACTTCTTCCCTCATTGTGATACAGTTTTCCTTCCAGGTCCTTTCTCTGTGAAACCCAAAAGGCTTTTCATTTGAATGTCAGTTTATCACAAGGACACATTAGAGGACCAATCTGAAAATGTTCTGCTAAAACTGTGATCAGCTATTTAAAGCATTTCCAGACTTCTTCTGTTTGTTTTTAAGAGTTGGTACTTCTGAGGAATTTGTTGTAGCATGAATAGAATTTCCACAGTCACCTAATATGCCCTAAAGAAATCATCTTTAGAATTACTAACAAACTAGAAAAATGACTGTTTTTTCTGAAGGAAAAAAGAGAAGTTGTCTGTACTGATAGCAGAATTATGAATAAATAAATAAATAAAAGTGAAATGAGATGCTGTACTAAAAAATGCTTTAAAAAATGCTTTTTTTTTTTTTTCATTTGGAAAAAAAAAAAAAAAATTGCATATCCTTAGGTAATGATAAAATTTTTCTGACAGCATGAATATGATACTCCCCAATCAGCTTTTCCACAGGCAGTGTACAATGCAGCAATTGTTAATGTCCCATGGGATTTTGCCATAATATCCCATCAGATGCCGCCAAGCCACGATTCAGACCAGAGTCCCACACTAACGTGTCTCTTTGCTTGCCAGGCGATGCCCCCGCTGGCGATGCTGCACTTCCCGGCCCCGCGCAGAACCCCACTGCGCTCCCAGGTACGGACCTGCAGCAGCATCCCAGGCTGAATCCTGTAGGATCCCTGGGATGCTCCATCCGTGGCGTCTCCATCCGCCTTCACTGCCATTGTCCATCCACCGAGCGGCACTGTTGTGTAGAAATTAAAACAGCAGCTCTGCTTCATCCGTCTCAGTGCTATGTGTGGCTCACGTTCCCCATACAAATCTGCACTTGCTTTGTATCTTGTGGTCCATCCCACACTTGGTCATGGGGGGCAATGTGGCTATCAGTTTTTCTTTTAGCTGTGTCACTTCTCCATTGTTGTGTTTGAGGCGGTAATTTGAGCCAAACACTGATATTAATGCCATTAACCAAAGAGAAGCTTACTAGGCTCACTGAGAAATAATAGCCCTACACATGTGTGTGATGAGGTGCTTTGAATAAGTGTTAGAAATGCTGGAAGCCTTTGTTCCCATTTTACTGTTAAAAAAAAGAAGAAAAGAGAAAATTGAAAAAATAAAACTAATTTATCTGAAGTTAAGAAGTTTTATAGAACTCATTATTTTTGCAAATTTTCATATTCTACATCCTGACTGTGGCAAATGCAGAGTAATAGATGAGAGTTCTGAATAGTTTTGAATTATAGATTTTGCCTTATTCTGTTCTTCTTGGTAACTTTGTCCTTCATCCTCCTTATAACTATGAAAGTGATTCTTTTCCTCTTTCCTAATAGAGTGAGCCATTGGTTTTGCATGTCATTCGTGCACATCTTCTTTGATTCTTCTTATATTTTCCTATACCTATGGAGGCAGAGGCCTGCAAAGTTCATGGTTATCTCCCTTCTAATTAACCTCAAACTTAGTAAGCTTGCTTTTCTTTCATTGTAAGTCTTCCCCACTCCTTTTGTCATCTCCTTTCCACTTTATTACAGATACTTACAATAGATCTCATTATATTTAAACTTTATCTCTCCTTTTCAAGATACTGCACTTCTCCACACCCTCTGCCCTGCTGACAATACAACACTACTACATCTGTGTATTTTACAAATGGTTGTGAATCAGTGTGTTTATGACCCTAGTGTCAGCCACAGTAATCTTCAGCAACAGGCAAGTAGAGAGGTGATTTGAAGACAGCATGTGGAGGTTGCAGTGCTCCTTTTTGCCCCTAAAAGGGTGTGAATTTTTAGTGCAAGAGGCTCTGTGCATCATTACAGTGAAGTATTTATGGACTTTTGCATACATATATATATTTTAAGGCGTCTTACACAATAATGTGTTCTGACCACTGCTATCAAGGGTCCTTAGCTTTTGATTCTGTATATCTCAAGCATTTCTTTGATTTTCATTCTTGTGGTTTTTTCAACCTGATTCATTTTGGCTTTATGACCTTCTGGTGTATGTTTATGTAGTCAGAAATCAGTTTAAGAACTCTTCTCTCTAATCTTTTAAGGAGGCATAATGCATTTATCTATTGTCATTAGAATAAGCATAAGAAAATGAGAGGTATGATGAAGTGATGATCTCAGTTTGCTGACTGAGCTGCTAGAGAAGAATGAGATGTGTTTAATTGGTTACTAAATGAAGTTTCTCATATCACATTATATATTTGGTTGTATATTGTGGGTATTGAGGGTAAGTGTTCTGTTCTGTTTTTGCTTTTTTTACTGAAGAATACTCCAAAACTCTCTCAAATAATGGTGAGGTGGTGGCACAGGTTGAAGTTATATTGTACTTTCAAACTTACACAAAGGCTGCTGGTACCTTAAGAATTGGTGCATGCATAATGCATCTTCAGAAGGGTTGTGGTGACTTAAGCCAGCTGTCCTTACTGTAGCTCCACTAAGATTCAGTGTTGGGAGAATCATAGGCAGTTTTCTTTTGGACTAAGGAAACTAGTTGCAATTGGTATGGATTGTCTTTCAGCTTTCTTCTTATTTCTTTATCTTGATTACTCCTCTGAATTTTAGAAAAGCCCATTACAGTGCAAGAACTCTGCCTTATGACTGGCGACACACTCTAATTCTTCATACATGCTATTCTTTCTCTTGTGAAATTCATGATCCTTGAGGTCCCTTCCAACCCTGGCAATTCTGTGATTCTGTAATTGCATCCCCTGAATGATCACACTACACACAGTGTAGTTCACATGGTTGGAGTCAGCATAAAAAATTACATTTCCTGATTACCTTTGCTTCACTGCATTTAGTGTTACATTTATTTTTATCTTTTTTATATTTTATAGTCTACAAAAACTCTTGGTGTTACGTGAACAAATTCCCTCGTGCAACAGTTTTTCCCTCCACAAAATCTTAACCATATATATTTTTTCTCTTGTTTGGTTATGCAGGTAGGTGCATACTCCATTTCTCTAAACTGTGATCCATTCTAGAAATGAATCTTTTTAATAAACAGTATTTACCACAAGAATAGTTCTCTGTCTTTAAAATTTGGACCTTTTTCACTTAGAACTGGAAGACTGAATATAAAAAAATTTCTTACAAACCATTTTTTCCATCATTTTACCAAGCTGCATTGTATCATGTGAGTGAGTTCCTCAAATGCATTTAAAGCATCCATCTCTTGATGATATCTTTGGTGAAATTTTACTGCATCATCTGCTTATTGCAGATGAAGTGGGTTAAGCACAGGCCAAGAAATGGAGATGTATATTAAATACTTATATTGCTCTCTTTAATTTTTTCATTTTTAATCTTAATTTTATGTGAAAGCTATCTTCTTATTAACAAGATAGGAAAGAGCCCATTTAGTCTAATTTATACATAATAAAATATTTTTTCATTGCTCTTTATACATTTTCTAGGGTTTCTGGTACATGATACATGACTAGAAAAGGTCTGAGAAGCAGCAGGAAAATGCAATTGAAAGAAGAGTAAAGAATGGAAAAAGTTGGAAAAAGGAAGTCCTACAGTACCTAAAGGGAGGCTATAAGAAAGAGGGGGATAGACTCTTTAGCAGAGTCTGCTGTGCTAGAACAAGGAATATGGTTTCAAACAAAAAGAGGGGAGATTTAGATTGGATATGAGGAAGAAGTTCTTAGCAGTGAGGGTGGTGAGGCGCTGGAACAGGTTGCCTAGAGAGGTGGCAGAAGTCCCGTCCCAGGAGGAATTCGAGATCAGGCTGGATGGGGTTCTGAGCAACCCTGTTCAGAGCAGGGGAATTGGACTAGATGACCTTTAAAGATCCCTTCCAACTCAAATGATTCTTTGATTCTCTGAAGTCACAGAAGTAGAAAAGGCAAAGTAAAAAGGTCTGAAGAAGAGGAAGGGGCAATCAGAGCAGTGTCCTCAGGAGAAGCAGAATATAAAATGTAGGAGAGTCATGGGGAGAGAAGAGCAAAATAAGGCAATCAAGAATGAGGGAAAAAATAGGAAACAGTTTATATGCCATTTTCTTCAAGAAAGCTTGAAGAATATTAAACTCAGGTACCTTCTTCTTTTTTGTCCTTTCTGGTCTGTTTTGTCACATCATAGGATATTTTCTTCTTTGCAAGTTCAATCTGTTAGTCTCCTTGCTAGGATGAAATTTTAAATAGATCTGTATTTATTCCCTTTAGAAAATGTGAATTGCTGGTTTCATGTGGCTGTGGCTGTGCAATATGTGTCATGTAGGGCAAATGCTGCAGAGAGCTTGGCTCACACTCCACCCTGCAGGTGGCCCTGGCACTGCTGGCATGCACACCACTTTGAGGGCAGCCACTGTTCTAAAGCTTAAATAACTGAATAATGTTAAAATGTATGAGTGTTCCTCCTAGTTGTTACCCTTAATTTAAAACATCTGAACTCAACATACCTGATCTCCTTTTGTTTCTAAATCTGAATTTGTGTGTTTTCTACAGCCTTTTCTTTCATTTCTTTGTTTTTAGTGTTCTTTTATTTCTACAGAAACCTGTATCATGGGAGAAGAACATAGTACATAATGAAGGGGCGACTTACTCATTCCAGAAAGGGAATTAGTGTTGCATTTTCAGTATTGATCATGTACCTACAATGACAAAAAGTGTACCAAAATATACACTGAATATATTGGAGGGGTCTCTGCATTAATACTTGGCATCTCTGAGAATAAAGCTGGTTTGAGTGGAAGCAGATCAGTAAGGAAGGATGGAACTCTTCAGAATTTGATTGTGGTCTTGTAGAGGAGATCAATTTGCACCTCTAACATCTGAATGATTTCATTTGGGGGATTGTTCTTGGGGCTATAAAAGGAAGCATGAAAAACACATAAATTTGAAAACTCTTTGCGGGCTTCAACTGGAAGGAATGGTCTTATCATGGTGAAATAGCACAGGGGTGTACCCAAGTGTCCTCACTATGACAGTGGATAAGAATAGATTCTTTAGAAAGCGATCTTCATCAAAATCTATCAGGTGAAAATGACCTTAAAATTTGAGGCAGAGAATTTATATTCTTTCTCAAACACAACTTACGATTTTCTGTTGCAAGTCTAGAAATTGTCGTGTAGTTACTGAATGTTAAACCCATTCTTGTAATCCAGTGTTCTTGTTTTCAGCTTTCTTTGTCAAGTTTTATAATGTGTTTGTTGAAACAAAAAGGTTTTCCTCTGCAGTGTTGATGAGGTGAGACTTTTTTTATTATGATGTATACTTTTGGTTGCTATGCATCATATGGAATCTCCTCAGTCTGTGTATATATGTCAAATATGTATTGGGAGAGTATTTATATACATATATATTCATTCGTTTATTTACTTATAGAGATACATATATTTAAATATAGATAGATAGATATAGAGCACATATACAAGGGATGCTCAAAAATAATACCTTCTATTTTATTATGATGGCCCACAACATCAGAGGCGAATCGTGGTGCGGAAAGAATGAATCTTTCCGCTAATGTGATATATGTTGTTGCCATGCAACAGATGGCATTAGAGGGGCAGTCTGACAGAGCGACATCTGACGTGGAAATGCATATGGAACAAAAGTACGTCACTAAATTCCTCCATGCGGAAAAATTTGTACCCACTGACATTCATTGACGCTTGCTGAGCATTTCTGGACACCAAACAGTGGATGTGAGCACAATGAGGTGGTGGTGCATTTCAGCAGTGGCAACAGCAACAGTGGGTCACTTACACTGGTGCATATTTTTACAAGTACAACACAGGCTTTTGTTCATCTCTGGCAAAAATGCAGTGCTAACGGTGGAGAATATGCTGAAAAATAGTGCATTGTAACCGAAAATTTGCTCTATCGCATAGTGTTAATGTGCTCTTTGTATGTGTTGTCATTTCCATGGATATAAATAGGAGGCATTACTTTCAGCAACCCGTGTATGTACTATGTAGTGTGTGTATGTGTATATACCTATATGTACATTAAGATCTGTGGTTTTCTCTCATACAAAAATCAAGTTCTGAGTATGTCAGAATAGTTCTTCAATTTCAGTGCATGCCGACACACTTCAACATTTCCTTGATGTGTATTTACAGGGAAAAGAAACAGCGCACTGATTAATTCTCATCTTACTTTACGCTTCTTTTATAGGTCAAAGTTCAAAAATCAGCTCATCTCCAAGCATAGAGAGCTTGCCTGGGGGACGGGAATTTACAGGATCTCCACCTTTGTCTGCATCAAAAAAGGATTCATTTTTTAGCACCATCTCCCGTTCTCGTTCCCAAAGCAAGACTATGAGCAGAAAAGAGTCTGTGAGTTCCTTAACATTTTTAAGCTATTTTAATGTCACACAGCATTACATGTTACAGCCATCGTTTCTCTTGTTCATTAAGCACTCATACTTGAAAATGTTTCCCTCGGCTCATATTAATGGCGAAAGCAGAAATAAGCTATTTAAACTGTTTCTGTTGAGTAACACCTCCATTATGGATTCCATCCCATGATCCTACTGGAAATGAAACTGTGAAACAGTCCAAAGCCTCTAAAAAGGAAGGAAGAACTCCTCTTTGCTTTGCTTTGCTTTGTTAGACTTTTGGTGTAGCCCTGAAGTTAATAAACAATTCAGTGAAGAGCACGAATGCTCAGCAGATCCAAACATGTCCATCTGTTGTCCCTGAAATTCTTTAATACATCAGAGATTTCCCAGTGTCTGTAGCATCTGTAGTCACAGTTTTATTTCTTGCACAGCCCTGATCTTTAATTTGGCCACAGGACAGAATGTTTTCAACTAAGAAGAAGGGTACAAATTTTTCATAGGTGTGTTCCAAATAAATTCTCATCTAATAAGTGATATTATAGGAGCACTAGTTTAGTAAACCTTATGTGTCTTGGAGCCAGAGGATTCTTGTTTATTTTGCATACCAGTTCCCACTGACTTTCTGCTGATTAAAATGGGCAGAAAAAAAGTTGTGTTTTTTGTGAGATGAAGCCAGTTCTCTGTTCGATTTTTGCCAGTGTATGTTCATATAACTTCCCATTGATTTGAATTAAAAAGAAATTTTAGTAGCAATATTTCTATGTTAGAGCATTCTTTGGATATTCAGAAATCTTAGAAATGGATCTAAATGTAGCACAGAAATCTAATCTGAACATCTCAGCACTTTCATCGCCAAATAGCAGAATTTTTATTAGTCACGTCATATTTTTTGTTTGATATTTGAAACATTTTGATGAAAGGCCTAGTTTTTCACAACATTTTTCAGCTTTTGTTCACTAAAACATTTGTTCCACATACTTCAGTGATACCTAAAGAAAAGCTGCAATTTGTGGTTATTTCATAAGAAGCTTCATGTTTGCTTTGCATCCATTTAAGACATACCAAACTGAGTTTAAAGCTAAATGAACAATATCTTTCTGCTTATCCTCATGAGTTAAAGAAAAATAAAAATACAAATATTCAAATTCTATTTTACACAGTTTAACAAGATCTAAATCCAAATTTTGCTTACAACTTTTATCCCAGCCAGAACTTAGGTTTTTTGCACCAAGAGTTTTCTAATAGAATACATAGAAAAATTTTCCGTGATAATTTTCAATTTTCAGGTAAATAGTTTCTCTTATTTGTGAAATTTTATTATTCTCTTCTCATGAATTTTTTAAAAATTATTGATTGCAAGAGATTTCTAGTCATTATATTTTTCAATAGATTGGTAGTCATAATAATGTACAATGAGCATTACTTTTCCAAAACATTCTTTGAACTGCAGTAACTTACACTGTTATATTATATGATTAGACAGTTAGAAAAGGTTTTAGGCTGGCAAAATCAATTTCCTTGTGTTCAATTTCTTACTGACTTTTAATATAGAGATAAGAAATTTGCCATAACTCTTAGAGGAAAGGTTTGTTTAAATCTGTTTTTGATTCCTCAAGATTATGTTTGGTTTTTATTTTCCTGTAAGTTTCATGTTATCCAGTGTTCCATTTAAGGAAAACTCCCAGAAGTTCATTATGAGGTCCCAAAATATCTGCCTCATAATTGTCCATTGGTGCGGTTGTTTCCTTTACAGCTGTTCTCTGGAGGCCCAAAAAAGAAAAAAAAAAGAAAAAAGAAAAAAGAAAAAAATTGAAAGCACAATGGGCTCACATCTTTGTTTTATTTATAAAAATTTAACTTCTTTACATTTATGTCTAATAATCACAGAGATTATGTTATTAAGCACCAGGAAAATTATCATTGTTGGAACATGCCATGCGTCGATCACTTTATAAAAAGATTATTTTAAACGCAGACATTCTATGGATGAAGGAGAATCCAATTCTCCTTCATTTTGTACTTTTAATTAGTATCCTTCTCAAGGAAAAAGTGAGAATAGAATACATAAATAAAAATATGTCATTCAATATGGAATTTTAGTAGGTGATTTTCATAGGCCAAAGGACATATGCTGTGGCATTGTCAGAATAAATAGGAATGTCATCATCACAAGCCACTCCTGAAGTGTGACTTGTATCACAGGTCCAGATCTGGGCTTCCCCATACAAGAGAGACATGACACATGGGAGGGAGAGCAGCAAAGGACCACAAAGATGATGAAGAGAGTGGAGCATCCCTCCTAAGAGGAAAGGCTGAGAGAGCTGAAACTGTTCAGCCTAAAGAGAAGACTCAGGGGATGTCTTCTTAGTATACCTGAAGAGGGGATACAAAGAAGACTGAGTCAGTCTCTGTGCAGTAGTGCACAGTGCAAGGGCCATCTGAACACCAGGAAGGACTTTACTGTGTGGGTGACTGAGCACTGACACAGACTGCCCAGAGATTGGAGTATCCTTGGAGATACTCAAAACATTCCTGGAGATGGGCCTGGGCAGCCTGCTCCGCGTGTCGCTGCTTGGAGCAAGGGTTGGGCAGATGGACTCTGAGGTCCCTGCCAACCTTTAACCAGTCTCTCATTCTAAGATAGCATAAACTGGAATATGACTTATTTACATTCTTTCTTTCCTAAAGTCTGTCCAACAAGCAAGACTTTCTTTGGAATAGTTATGATCAAAATTGATACAGGGTTCATTGCCTCCAGGAATGAGATGATTCCATTTCTTGTAAGAGACTCCTATTTAAGATACTAGCATTTGTCTTACATCTGGTCTTTTGTTTTGCTTTTGGTTTTGTTTTTTTTTTCTTTTCAAATACAAAGATCAATGGAATGACTTTTTTACTACCGTTGACAGAAATAGGTGTCCTCCATTTTATTTAAAGATGTGAATCTATAGCCTCAGGCCTGAATCATAGAATCATAGAAAGGCTTGGGTTGAAAAAGACCCCAAAGATATCTAGTTTCAACCTCCCTGCTATGTGCGGGGTCACCAACCACTAAACCAGGCTATCCAGGGCCACATCCAGCCTGGCCTTGAATGCCTCCAGGGATGGGGCATCCACAACCTCCTTGGGCAACCTGTTCCAGTGTGTCACCACCCTCTGTGTGAAAAACTTCCTCCTAATATCTAATCTAAACCTCTCCTGTGTCAGTTTAAAACCATTCCCCCTCGTCCTATCACTATAAACCCATGTAAACAATCGTTCCTCCTCCTGTTTATATGCTCCCCTAAGTATGGGAAGGTACTGAAAGGTATTGTGAATGCACCATACCAGATCACATTTTGGCAGCCTATGGAAGCCTGATGAGATTCACATTATTATTGAGTGGCATTAAGGTGAGTGCTAATGTGAGGCCCACTGAAAGTGTTCAGTAGTCTGTTTTGTGCTCAGCTGTGAAATGCCTCTCACCTTTTAAGACAACTTACTGCTTTCTGACACATCGCAGTTTCTGAAACCATTTTGCCATAAACAAAAAAAGGAATATACTAATATATAACGCAGACTAGCTCCTATTATCTTCAGACTGAGTTGGTCTTGCTGGAATAAAGTCCTAGAAAATTTCCTCTCATAGACTGCTTACTGCCGCCTCCTCTTCAGCAGAAGAAACTGGGTGCATTTGTGGTCCATTTATTTCGCCAATTATGTTACATTTTCTTATCCAGCAAACATGAAGGAGAGTCTCTTTTCAGCAAAAGAGCAAAGCTGATTAGAACTTGATTTAGCAAATATGGTTGTCTAGTCTCACATTCTGGCAGAAAATTCTGTAAATGGCTTTCAGCTACAGAGATGTGCCAGAGAGGGATCTTTGGATCAAGCAATGTAAACTTTTTTAAAACTTTCACAGAACAAAAGCAGGATAAATGTATTTGTGACTGAAAAGAAGGTTTTGATCTAGATAAATATGTTTTAGTAAGTAAATTTATATGTAAAGTGTTTCAATTTAACAAAAAACAAATGATCCATTTGGAAAATGTGTTGATTAAAATATTCCTTAAAAAAAAATATTTCAAAGGAAAATCTGGAGAAGTTTATTTTCTTTATTAAAATAATTTGTAAACTTGGTCAATCAGAATCCTCATTTCTTAGCAAAGAAATATTCCTGAGTAAAAATATCTGCATCATGCTGGTTCAATTGCACAGACTTTTTAATTAAGTCAAATTTGACAGCATACGCTATTGTCCTTACAAGCAGGTAGAAGCAACTGTTACTGTCTGTGATTTACTTTGCCAGTTTGACTGATTTGGAGTTAGTTAAGAATACCCCTGCAGATTAGAAAATTAACTTATGGCATAATTTTTAATTAAGTAGGTATGTGCTTTGCTGATTTTGGAGCCTGATTTAAGCATATAAGCTTGACAGTTCTGCTCAAGTAGAGATAGCATAAGAAAATAAAAGGGATTAAAGAGAGTAGATATAAGGAAAAGAGGTTGGATATAAGGAAAAAGTCTTTTACAGTGAGTGTGGTGAGGCTCTGGGACAGATTACTCAGTGTTGTAGTTGATGCCCATTCCTGAGGCTTTTCAAGGTGAGGCTGGATAAGGCCCTGGGCAACCTGATCTAGCTGTGCATGTCCCTGTTCATTGCAGGGGAGTTGGACTAGGTGGCTTCAGAAGTCCTTTCCAACTCTAAGGATTCTATGATTCTATTCTACAATAATCAAACTAACACTAGACAACTGCACATAAAAATTCATGCATACAAAAGTTCCTTTGTAGAAAAGCATGCCTTTTGTGCATAATGACATATCATGAAGACCCTGGATTTCTGTGTATCTTCTCCCTGACATTTTTTAAATCTCTTTAAAAGGCTTCAAGCAAAATATTTGTGTCAGTCCATACTTAATCATGCTGAATGTTTGTTTGGAAATATAAATGCTGTGAGTAAAGGATCTTTTTCAGTTACACATCATAATGTGTGGCCAGAATAAATTAGTGCCT